ATTGCCTTTGTAGGTATAAAAACATTGTTGTAACGTTCGAAAGAAACCTAGCATGAACGTAAAACTGAGAATGAATATTATTAACAAGCAAAATTAATTGTAAATTTCATTGATTTTTTATTTTATTTCCATGGGTGTATGTTAATATTTTGCACCCACTGTAAAGAACATTGCTTCACACATTATGCTTCACACCTTACCTTCTCCAACAATACTCAACGCCGCTCTTTCGACTGAAAATTCTTGTAATTGTACGCAAGACAAGAAACAAGTGTTATGTTTTGTAAAAACACAACACCTAATAATAATCCACCTTGACACAATATTTTAGCATTTGTTGTCAAAACTCAAAATGATCACAACATTAAAGCGGGAGGGTCATCACCTTCGCACACACAGGAATAGAGTCCTAAACGATGATAACAACACACGCTAAAAAACGCAAAGGCTCATGGTCACGCAGTGACGCTATGGCCATCTGACGCATGTGCAGGTGACGACTCCCCCACTTTAACGGCATCTATGTTGCTTTCTTACCCCAACCAGGCCACATCTTGACCCACACCATGGACTTCCTGTTTATACATATATGATAATGCTACGCCAACTATTATACAAAACCCAATAAAAAATAACATACTAATACCCAATTGATTCTGGTTTCATTGACCCATGAACAAATTATCATTGTGTTGAAAGTTTAATAATAATAGTCCAGCAGTACTATTTGAAGAAAGGAAAAACAAATTTCACAAAACCAACTGTTTTTTCGATTCTAAATATCTCGTACATTATATTTGGTAATAACTCAAAACAAAAAGCCTACCAGCTTCATATGAATGTAACATTTACAACTTTCAGACACAATCTGTGATGAGGGATCATTGCTTAATTAAACATTGTCAGCAGAAATTGATTTTAACTTGACAGTTAATAATAAGCAACATACAACTTAATATTGTTTTTTTTTATTTCGGTGCATTCAGATACATTTTTATAGCACTCGTAAATAAATGGAATATCCTCGTGTGAGTTAATAAACTGTTTAATTCAAAACTAACCTACATTGTAAGGACACTCCCAATAAAAGATTTTTCAGGTTTATTCATATTATAAATCTTGTTATGGTATGATTCAGACATGTAGTATAAAGGTTAGGCATAAGCTACATCTTTTAAACCACACTTTTGAACTCTTTCAACGTCAACCTTTTTCATCTTTCACAAAAAATAACTTGAACCAAAATTATCCCCCAAAATTACAGAAAAAAAATAGGAAAAATATTGCAAAAAAAAATGTGCTGTCCAAAGTCGAAAGTTAATAAAATAGGTGAAATCTGATATGCAATCAAGATACATGTTACTATTCAATACATGTTACATTATATAAACTAGCTAAACAATTTTACAACAGTTTACTGGCAAGTGATAATTCAGGGCATCTTATTTAAAACATCTCTCCACCTACATGCAACACAAGTGGGGGTTGAGAAAAAAACCCAAGCAGAGTTAGCCATAAACTACACTTTTTATTCTTAACTTAACTCTTAATGTCTTTTTGAGTAAGATCCACCAAGGATCCACTTTCACATAAAGGCAAAAATACATTTAATGATAAGGAGAGAAAGGGAGTTCAGTAAAGTTACCATGATCTACCCTTTACTTAAATCAAATTTTATGCAAATGTTCAGGTCAATAAGAAAGCTTCATGTTATGATATATATATAGAATGAGGCATGTGTAATATGAAGAGGTCAAAATTAAGGCCTGTTCACCTTTTCACCAGAAATGACAAGATATCATCATGAAATGAACAAATCTAAGAGAGGTCAGCCCAACATATACACCAAGTATCAAAGCATTCAGGCTTGTAGTTTTCAAGAAGAAGTCGAAAAAGTAAAAAGCCGATGGACAATCACTCATATGATAAGCTCCCCTCGACTAAGTCGACTAAGTTTTGGGTTAATTTGTTTTGTTTTTAAATGCAGACATTTTCAAATCACCACAAATCGTGCACTTGAGCAATAACCCACCGCCGGAGGCGGGTATACCACGAGATATTGCACAATTCATGACATGCCGTGAGTGCATATATGGAGTGAATTGTGCAATATTGAGTGGTATACCCGACTCTGGTGGTGGTTTATAATGCTATTATATTATACCAACTTCATTTCTGTAGCATTTTCGACACTCTCAGGCCTTTTTACAAAATAAGAAAGAGTAGTTTTCGAACGACGTGTGATGAGCATCGGCTGGTCGACACGGTGATCATATGAAATGGGTTCTGGAACCAGTATTTAATCTTTTATCGCACACTCGCGCTCCGTACACAAAAACGCACAGAACAGCAAGTTTAGATATCATCACAATCAAAGGAAGTTTATTTCTACAACGCAAGAAACTAGCAAATAATTAGAAATTGAATAAACTGTACAAGCTCAACGCTAAATTTACATATGAATAGCTGTGAAAAGATTATCATCAGCAGAAATTACCAGCAGAGCGCACTGTGCGCCATTTTTGAAAATATGTGCTGTGGGCTTATTATCGTTGTTGAATTTTCTAATTTCTGTTTGTTATGCTGACATTAATTGGTCCACTAAAGGTGCAGTTATGGGTATTAGAAATAGAAGCGGTGCCAGATTCTGCGAGAGTTGATCCACACGCTACTATGCCGGTGTTTTCTTTGGTACGAATGACGTTGTCGGAAACACCTGCCTCGATTGTTACGGTCACTTCTCTATCTGAAGATTTGTTTTTATACCAAAAACTGCGAGACAGCATACTGGACATTCCTTGACTATGATTATTTGTGAGTTTGTTGGTGTAAGACCGAACACTAGCTTCGTTTTTATGTGCCGTGAAATACATAATGTGTCTGGTTTCAACTCCTGCCGAATCTAACACAGTGCACACAGTTTCCCTAACATCGATGTGTATGAATTGTCAACAAATTTGCTGCTATCGAAATCTCTTTCATCATAGATCCCAATTTATTTTCACGAATACCAGACTATGTCAGTAGGTGTTACCTTTACACGGGGTCCCTGAAACAACGCATTTCGCAATTTGGACAAATTCATTTTGAAATGCTGCATACATTTTAGCCTGTGTTTCGAAATCGTCAAGGTAAATTTCATTAAAATTGGCAAAGCGTTTCTTTCTCTCTGTCTGGACGAATTCTCCGGTTTCTGCAAGATAATCTTACTCTGACAGCTCCCAAACCTGATACTCGGCCATGTCTATGTTGCAGACAACGCAGACATGTCGCAAAGAATAGCATGCAAAAATTGTAGGTTGTGCAATTTTTTTATTTAACCACTGCCAAATTAAAATATATATATAATATCTTCATGCTATCAATATTACCCCAAAATTTCCCTAATATTTAAATGCCCTTCTCATTATTTGTTTACGAATTGAACTTGTATTCATACTCTGGGGCCTTATTTGGAACACCATAACTGTGCATTATGCTCTATTTAACCATGGCTTGTATAAATTAACAAGTCATTGTCAATGACACGTCCCCGTTCCGTTCATATTTGAGTGACATATACATTCAAAGCAGATCATGACCGAAATGCACCTGCATATGTACAACACATTGTGCTAAATCTGAACAAAATCCATCCATGCATGACTGAGATCCGGTTCTGGAATTGTGAAAATATGTGATTTTGATGCAT